AACAGAGTGCCCATGAGGCAGTGGGAACTGTGGGTTGTCTGCTTCTCACAGTATTAAAAAGGTCTACAGAGAAGACCCAAGAAATGGAGGCACGAGAATGCAAGCTGCAAACTGCTGTGGATTCCCTCAAGAAGGAAATGGCATTGATGCGAGAGGAGGCAGCATGAGAACATCAGCAGCAAGGTGCCATTGGAGAGGTAAACAATTCCTTACAGAATGAGATGGCAGCACTGCCAGGTATTCTGAAGGAAGGACAAGGCCATGAAGGAAAAAGACGAACTCCTGAGGGAAGCACAGGCAGAGGTGGCATGAGAATGTCAGCTGCATAGCATTGAGATGAAGACAAGAGAGCTTCTGAAGCTGAGGTAGCATTGCTGGGAGGCACAGTAGAAAAGGTAAAGGTTGTAGTGGAGGAGGCATTCAGGGGAGGGGAGAGAAAGGTACCACCAGCCCCAGAAATAGAGGAGCTGGGGAAGGATGAAGGGGTGGTGCCGGAAGCACTGGCCCCTCCTGTATTGAAAGCACACCCAGTGGTTGTAAAGAAAATAAAGACCCAGCAGCTGAAAGTTCCCTAAGGAGAGGAGCAGCCCCCTCCCCAGGTCATGGAGCACTCTATGGTCCACCCCTGTACTCAGGCTGAGGTGGTAGATTTGGGCTCCCAGTTTAGGCAGAAGCCCTCAGTCAGTATCAGCTTGGCATCTGTAGGACTTTGGGGTGTATGGAATTGTTATGTCAGGACCACAGATGGGAAAGCTGGCTTCCCTGACAGTCCATCCACCTTGAGGCAGCGACTACAAAGTGCACATCAGACCCCAGGGAATCACTCTCTTCTCGACTGGCTTATGGCTACACTTTGTGCTGTGTGGCCCAATCCAGGTGATCTACCATCCTCCTCTGCTAGATGGCAGATGTATGCTGAGCTCCAACAGGTGTTACAAGAGCTAGGCATAAGAAATGCCATCTATAGCCCAGACTTATAGCCCAGATGAAGAGACTTTCACTACTGGGATGAGAAATATTGTGCTTCAAACAGCTGCCACATCCCTCTTTGGGTCTCTAGTGGCCATTCTTGCCCCTCACTTAGGGTATCCCATAAGTGAGGTGACTCGTACAGTAGCAGACTTAGGAGAGGCTGAAGCGATGAGAACACAGAAAGAAATAAGGTCTTCTACTCAGAAGAAGAATTTAAAGGGCCCCAGTGATATTACAAGGACCCAGATGTGAGTTGATGTAATATGGGCAGGAGCAGATGGAAGGAAATTAGACAGGAAGCCGAACAGGATCTTACTGGAGCTCTTCTTTTTTGGATTCTTCTTACTGGAGCAGCAGTTCAAGCCATTAAGACCAAAGAGTCAGAGGTCAGGGACAGAGCAACTAGATTGGCCTGTGTGTCTGTAAGACTTTTTGTTGGAGAGGCTGGAGAGCAGTGTTCCAGCTTCCTTGCACAGGGACCATTGCAGAGGACTGAGGGCACATAGATTGAGAGGAGAAAATCCTGGAGGGGTGGAGTGTGGATAAAATGACAGTTCCTATGGGCAGGATTCTCACTTGGCCCTGGTTGACTAGCTCACTGCACATGTGTGGGCAATACGTTGCTATTGACTCTATATAAGGAGCTCCGCCCAGTGCTCTGGGCTACAGGGTGGCACAGCTGCAAGGCTGCAGGAGAGCAGAGCAGAGGCTGGAGTGGTGGCAACACTGAGGATAGAGGCCCAGAGGATTGCTGTTTGGGACGGCTGTGCAGGCAGAGAGGCCTAGAGACAGAGACTGGCTTGATACATGTAGACTCGTTTTCAGTAAATGGGATTTTAATGACTGACCTGCCACCATGGAAATAAAGTTGGGCATAATCCTTTCACCCCAATAATATTTAACTGTCATTTCTTTGGTCATATTAAATCCATAGTGAACTTGCCTGGGGCTGTAGCCCATTGACAAGACATGTGTACAAGAATTATTTTGGTTGCCATGGACAGAATGACCAATCCAAAATGGTCTTTATATTTTAAAAGTATATTTACTTCTATAATGTAAGAGTCCAAGAATTAACTCTTTTCAGATGTGTGACCCAGGATTCAAGGTTGACCAGGACCCAGTCTCCTTGTTTCTATTGAGTATTGGCTCTGTCTCCAGGCAGGCTCTCTTGTGATTGCTTCTAAGATGGCTTCCAGTACTTCACCATTTAGACATGGTGGGAAAAAGAGAGTATTTCTCCAAAAGCAGTTTTAGAACACTTCCTCATGTGGAATCTTGTGCCCATCCAATTACTGTTGCCTGGGAGAGGAAATACACTTGTTTTAAACTAGCAGAGGGATTAAGCTCGTCAACTCACATTGCTCAAGAGCCAAGGTTTAGGGGCTTATAAAAAGAATTTTATTGGGCAATAAAAAGAATTTTGGAACACATCCCTAGCCACAAAGTTTACCACATAGCAATGAGGAATAAACGAGTGAAATAATTTAGTAAATTTAGTATTCTTAGTCTTTAATTGCAATCTTGTTTTCCTTCTCTCTTCTTTTTTGGATTCTTCAGTTTTTACACACATTATTAAGTGATTCAGGCCTCAGATCTGAAGCTTTGAAATAATTTTCTCATGATTGCAGTAAAGGCAATAAATTGAGTACCATTTGAAATGTTCCTCTTTTAGGTTTTCATGTCTTTCTTTTTCCTTGTGCATATGTAATGCAAACATCTTTGTAATTATCCCCAAGTGCTGAAACTTTAATCTCCATTGTGTAATTGAAATTTCCTGTGCAGCTAAGTGGTTTTTCTGGGTCCTCAATAATCCAAGAACATCTAAATGTTGATCATTTCCTTAAAAACAGGAATATATATGAAGTCTTTCTCTGTCTCCCTCTTTCTTGTGTGTGAAGAAAATTATCTCTTTGGTTTCCATTGCTACTCATTGTGAACCTCTTAAGGAAACACTACTTACTTTTTCCCACTTGAAAATGTAAGTATATATGGGTTGAACAAATAGTGATGGAAAGCAATTGTGTGCTAAAATACCAGGAGCTGTATTAAAAGCTGGATATACACTGGTGAGCAAAACCTTCCAAAGTCTGTCATCCAAAAGATTACAGCCTACCAAAGAAAGCAGAAAATAAATAGGTAAAGAACAAAAACAGATAATAAAAATTGTTACCATGCTTCATTATATCTTGTAATAAGCAACCAATAAAGCACAATGATAGAAAATAATGAGGAGCAGGCAAGTGGGATAGAGAGCTCAACATGACAGGGCTGTCACACAACATCTCTGAGGAAGTGATCTTAGAACTGAAACCCCAAGGTAAGAAGGTACATGTGAAGAGCAGAGTAATAAGGGCTCTGTGTAGCAAATTGAGAGTTCCTTAACCGAGGAAGGCACGAGCAGAAGTCCTGAGGTGTGGCGAGGTCACCCACCCTGTTAAAGGAACAGGGAGGACAGTGTGCCTGGAGCCTCCAGGGCAAGTGGGAGTGAGGCAGGAGATGAATTTGGAGAAGGAGGTAGAGATGCAGTTACACAAGGCCTTATAGGTCTATGGTAAGAAATGTGGATTTTACTGGAAACCTAAGAGAAGACTAAAATCTGACATATATATATATATATTTATTTCTTTAATTTTAAAATATTCATTTTATTATCATTAATCTACAATTATATGAAGAACATTATGGTTATTAGACTCCCCCCTTCACCAAGTCCCCCCCACACAAACCCCATTACAGTCACTGTCCATCAGCGTAGTAAGATGCTGTAGACTCACTACTTGTCTTCTGTGTGTTGCACAGCCCTACCTATGCCCCCCCATATTATACATGCTAATCGTAAGGCCCCCTTTCTTTTTCCCTGCCCTTATCCCTCCCTTCCCACCCCTCCTGCCCAGTCCCTTTCCCTTTGGTAACCGTTAGTCCATTCTTGGGATCTGTGATTCTGCTGCTGTTTTGTTCCTTCAGTTTTTCTTTGTTCTTACACTTCACATATGAGTGAAATCATTTGGTACTTGTCTTTCTCCATCTGGCTTATTTCACTGAGCATAATAGCCTCTAGCTCCATCCATGTTGTTGCAAATGGTAGGATTTGCTTTTTTCTTATGGCTGAGTAATATTCCATTGTGTATATGTACCACCTCATCTTTATCCATTCATCTACTGATGGACATTTAGGTTGCTTCCATTTCTTGGCTATTGTAAATAGTGCTGCGATAAATATAAGGGTGCATCTGTCTTTTTCAAACTGGAGTGCTGCATTCTTAGGGTAAATTCCTAGAAGTGGAATT